AAAACAGGTAAAAAATAATTTAAAACACAGTAACCTTTATTATGAAATCCTTCAGGTATAAAGCACAAAACATATAATGAAGTTTTGTATTTGCTGTGTAGCTTACAGGGGTAAAAATTATTAATTTGACCAAAGTCCCCATGTATCCCTTCCTATGTGTCTCTCCTATGCTCCTAGTTGCAGCCACTATAATGAATTGGTATTTATTGTTGCCATACATTTTTTTGTACTTTAACGACATATGTATTTGTCTATATTAATAATATGTAGCATTTTAATGTTTTTAAATCCCATATTAAAAATTGTTCTTATGTATCTGCTTTTGCAGCTTGCTCTTTTTATTTAGCGTTGTGTTGTAAGAATCATTCGTGTTGGCATGCATGGCCCTAGAATGTTTATTTTCACTACTGTATAGTATTCCCTTATATGAATAAACTATAATTTATCTATTCTATAGATGGACACTGAGTTGTTTCCATTTTTTTTTTGCTCTTACATAATAGTCTTTCTAGGAATATTCTTAACAGATATCTCCTCATGTGTATGTTTCTGTTAGGTAACACCTAGAAGTAGAGTTCCGGGGTCATGATGTATCTAAACTTACCCTTGAGCCACCTTGTTGGACTAGGCTTCCATGATACTACACTTGCCTGGTTTTCAACTTCATAGGCCAGGCATTCTCGGTTTCATTTTTTGGGTCCTTATTCTTTACCACACTCTGCATTGTAATGTCTTAGGGTTTTGTCCTTCACTCTCTCTATTTCCAGGCCGCCTAGGTAATCTTATCAAGTTCTATGTTTTTTTTTCTTTTTGTTGTTGTTGTCATCTTAATTATTATTTTTTTTTCCAGTTCCATGGTTTTAAATACTATCTACGTACTGATAGTAGTAAATACTAGGTCTCTAACCCGACCTCTCACCTGAACTCCAGACTGGTCTCTCTTTGGACATCTAAAAGGGATTTCAAAGTTAACATGGCTAAATGGGTCTCTTGAGGCCCATCTCTTTCCTCTTTCTCTATACTGCACAGTTGGAGGCTTCTCATTCTTCAGCTTTTAGCTCACATCTCTCCTCAAAGAAGCCTTATCTGCCTACCCCACCCTCTCCCTGCCCATTATCTATTATATCATCCTGTTTTATTTTCCGCAGAGCGGTGTCTCTCACTCACATCTTTTCTTTGCTTTGCATATATGTGTGTATATGTGTATGTATGTCCACCGGAAAAGTTTTGTAAGAGCAAGGGACTGTGTGCACTATTTTATCTGTATTTCTTAGAATGGTGCCTAGCACGTGGGGGTAGTCAGAAATTATTTAACCCTGTTATCCTCCTCGAGATCTGTAGATTCAAGTTCCCATCTGTTTTTAGGAAGTTTCCCAAACGCTCTTAGCCTTGACTTCCTTAGTGTTAATCCACGTGTCGTACTGTCTCTTGGATTCATCAGGATTCATCAGGATGTCTTGCAATAGCAGGATGTCTCTCAATCCCAACATGTTGATGCTATCTTCTTCCCCAAAGCCTTCTCTCCTCCCCACCCTTAAATGTTTGTTTGTTTGTTTTTTTTTTTATAACTGTTATCCCCATCTACTTTGTGGTTTACCTCCCTCATATCCAGTTTGTCATTACTTGTTTTTACCTTCTTCATAGTTCTTGTGTCTTTCTCCCTCACTCTAGGCATTATCTTGCTCAGGCCCATTTCAGAATCTCTCACCTATCTTCATTCTGTCTAGGTAATCATTTTTGGTTTCATGACTTTAAATACTATGTGCATGCTGTAACTGCTTAGATTCCATCTCCACCCTGACCATACTCTTTAGCTCCAGTTTGTTTCTGGGCTTCCATGACAACACATTGTCTGATTTCATCTAACTTCACAGGCCAGCATTCTCATTCTCATTTTCTGGATCTTCATTCTCTACCACACTCTATATTGTTGTGTCCTAGGGCTTTGCCCCCGACACTCTCTGTATCTTCCCAGCTTCTAGCTTTGGTCTACTTTAATTTATCCCCCATGCTGATCTTAGGATGATCTTTATCAGATATATCAAATCATGTCACTGCTTTGCTTAAAGTCTCTCTGAGGCTCCCTGCTACCTCTGAAGTCCCAGTTCTATATTATGGAGAAAACCATTAAGGATGAGCCCCTGTGTATCTCAACCCCTACCTCTTCTCCAGAGGGGAAGAGGATCGTCATCTCTCCTTGTGGCTCTTCAACATAACAGGCTAGGCCTTTGCTCATGCTCTTTCTTCAGTGCAGTTTTCTTTTTCTCTCCTTACTTGCCCAGTAAACTTTTGCTCATTTAAAAAGATGATTCAATGTCTCTTTTTTCAGGGAAGCCTTCCCCAACACATTCAGGCAGAAGTAAGAAATTCCTTCTCTGTGTTCTCCTGGCAGTTTATTATCACCATTGTAGTACTTGATTCATTTATCCAACAATTATTTATTGCTTGCTTACTCTATGCTAGAAACCATTCTAGGCATTGGAGATAGAATAGCAAACAAGACAGACAAGGCCCTTATTTTCAAGGAGTCTACATTCCAGAGGGGAGGAAAGAGAAAAAACAAATAAGCAAACAATCTTATTTTAGATATTGATAGGTGATACTAAGATAAAACCAGAACCGACAATGTAGTAATGTGATGGAGAGTGTGTGTGTGGGGGCGGGGGCGGGAGTGGGGGTTGTGACACTTGAGAGTGAGCGAGACACTGTTTGAGTTGAGGCTTGAAAGATAAGAAGGAACCAGTGATCTGCAAGAGTCCCGTTCTAGGCAGAAGGAACAGTAAGTACAAAGGCCCTGGAGCTAGAGTGAGCTTGGTATGTTTAAGGAACAGAAGCAGGTCAGTGCAGAAGGAGCATAATGAGCAGGGGAAAGGAGTACGTCTAACGAAAGACCTGGGAGGTAGACAAGGCCAGATCATGTAGGGCCTTATAAGAAGATTTGTGAATTTTAAATGTGGTAGGAACATTGGAAGATTTTAAGTGAGGGAGCAACGTGATCCGATTCATGTCTAGCATTATCACTCCAGTTTATAATGAGGAGAATTATAAAGGGGGCAAGATCGAGAGCAGAGACCACTTAGGAGCTGTTGCCTGATGCAAGAAATGTCGGTAGATCGGATTACTGTGGTATTTGTGGTATCCAGGGAGAGAAGTGGAATGACTTGGGATATATTTTGAATAACAAGACTTGCTGATGGAATGGATATTTTGGATTTAGGGAAGGATGAAATTAAGAAGAGGACCCATTGGCTCTTCTTGAGTAATCTTGTGGATGGTGGTGCCATTTACGTACTGTGGCTGACTAATGGTGGTGGTGGTCATAAAAAGTTCTGTGGGGAAGGAATTGAAAGTTACATTCAGTTGAATATGCCTCTTAGACTTCAAAACATGGATGGCAAAGAGGCAATTGTATATATGGTTCTGAAGGTCAGGAATGGAGAGAGATAATTTTGGGAGTCACCAGCTTACTCAGTGTATCTTAAAGCTGTGAGACTGGATAAAGTAACCTAGGGTCAGAGTGTAGGAGAGAGAAGGGGGCCCAGTGTAGGGCCTTGGGCCCTGTAGAGTTTAGAGGTCTGATAGAGACACCGAGGAGGACAGAGGGAGTCATAGATGACAATCAGAAGAGTGTTTCAAGGAGGGAAGGGCAACTGTGTCATGCTGCTTAGAGTTCCAGTAAGATGAAGACACAGATGTGACCACCAGATTTGACTCTGGAGGTCACTGTGACTGTGGTAAGAGCACCTTTAGGGCATTTGAGTGGGCAGAAGATGGAAGTTAGTTCATTACTTTAATTAACTGCTTATGTATCTGTCTCCTCCTCTAGCCTATATGCTGGCCCTTAGTTTATTTCTAGGGCTCCAGCATATAGTAAATGGTGAATAAATGTTTGCTTACAGGTTTGAATTTTATAATGCAGTTTAAAGAATAACAACCTGTTTTGCCCTCATTTAGAATACTTTTGCACCATTGACCCTTGCCACCAGTTTGTGTCAGTTCAAGAAATATAATCATGTGAATAATAACTTAAACAAAATGTGATGAGAAAGGCAAATACATTTTAATAGTCATTCCCATTGTATCCCAAAGCCATCATGCTGTAGTAAGAAAGGGCCGTTCTTTGGAAGGCTTGCTCCAAGCTTTGGCCCCGCTACTTAGCGCTTCCGAAAAGGTCTGGGGGCAAGTGACCCCACTCTGGATTGCAGTTCCTCGGCTGTCACATTTGGATAATGTTAACAGATTCCTCTTACAGGATTTTTGAGAGCAGCAAATGAGCTAATGCATATGAACATCCTTTGTAAGTAAAAAGATACTCTAAGTGCTATTTTTGTAAAAATAATTGGATTATCCATTTCATTGCTGACTTATAAAGTAGATTAGATTGGAGTGTCGTGAAATTCATATTTAAACAGTGGCATATGAATGGCAACAAGTTGGGTGAGGATGAAGATCACTGGAAAGTGTGATACTTTTTCAGAAGCATATAGGAAATTAATTTCTTTTGGCTCTGTTCTCTTATCTTTCTCAGATAAATTTAATTCTGTTAGAGCCCAAGAGTAGACTCTTTTACTTCAAAATATGGTAGGCAAATCTAGCTAGTGGTCTCCTTACTCTGATGTTGTCTATAAAGGATAAAATGTAGTTAGTATTGCTTGTGGTTTTTTTCCTTTTTAAAAATGAATACATTGATTAACTCGATTTGACACCTTTTCCTCCTGGTGGTGATTACAGTTGTCTTCCCCTCGTCCACAGGGGATACCAAGACCTTCAGTGAATGCCTGTGATACTACTGAACCCTATTAATCACAATAAGATATAAATAACAAGAAAGAATAATAAAATAGAACAATTATAAGAATATGCTATAATGAAAGTTACGTGAATATGGCCTCTTTCTCTCAAAATATGTTGATATTTTGGACCACAGCAGACGTCGGTAACTGAAAGCAAAACCGCTGATAAGCGGGGAACTGCTGTATTCATTTTGTTTTTACTTCTAGGGTAAAAATCATGGTAAGAAACTCCGAAATTACTATGCAGCAAATAGCTGTCCTCCTCCTGCCAGAATGAGCCATGCGATGGAACCCGCAGCTACTCCAGTTGTTCCAGTCCCTTCACAGGTGAGATGTGTCTGGATGAAGCAGCATTAGGGGAGAAGCTGTCGTGTGTACCAGTGGTCATGAATGAAATTTGTTGTCCATGTGTCCATCAGGGTATAGTTGGGCAAATAATCCTTGAAGATGCTACTTGTTACTTTTAACTCCTTGAACTCTATAGTGCTAGATTTAATGCATGCCAAAATCTATAAACCTTGAGATTTCTCATTGGCCCTGGTTGTGATGCGTGAAGTGATGAAACAAATATTGTTACGTGAGTCTTTCTCTATGTATTTCTCAAAATTCAAGGTTAAATGACCCTGAATGTTTAGGCTACGCCCTCAATGAGAAGAGAGATTTTTAAACATTTATTTTTTTATTGCAGTTAATCCCATTTATTTCAGATTTGATTTTCCATTTGCAAGATTAGTTTCTTGAGATTGCCCGTTACTTACCTCTATGCTGACAGGCTGTATAAGCACTTTTTGGACTTTGCTATTATGAGACATACTTGAGAGCCAAGTTCTTTTTGCTCTTTGGAAGATAGAGCAAGTTGATTAGACAAGATATTTCTGTACCTTAGTAGCCTCTGAGCTATGGATTCTACTGCATAATCTATTTTTGAAGTGATATTTGTCTATAAAACAATATAATGGTTATAAATAATAATAACTATGATTGATTACTTAATACGCCAGGCACAGTGCACTTTTTATACATTGTTTCATTCAGGGCTGGGACTAGGATCAGGTAAGGGATACACTTGCCTTGGGCACAAAATTTAAGGGGGAGCCAGAAAACTCACTAATCAAGATAAATATTAATGCAGTGTTTTAGAAATTCAAAATTAATGTAAAAAGATCAATGCTGAACAAAACATCAAAAACTTAAAAGACAGGATAAATATTACTGATTCCCTTTTGCCTCAGGCTGCAATATGTCTTGGTGCATGGCACTGTTACTAATTAAATATTTAAAATTTTGGTATTTTGTTCATCAAATTTTTTACATTAAACATGATTTTTTAAAATATTATATTAAAATATTATTTATCTTGATTACTGAGTTTTTTGTTGCTCCCTTAAATTCTGTACTCAAGGCAAGTGTCTTACTTGCTTCATTCTAGTCCCAGGCCCTGGCTTTATTTAATGCTTGCAACAACTTAGAGGTTTTGGCCTTATTACTCAAAATGTAATCCATGAGCCAGCACCACCTGCTTCACTGGAAATTTATTAGAAACTCAGATAAGCTAAGTAACTTTCCACAGTGTTAGATATTTTGCAAAGCAGTGGAGCAAGAATTTCTTTTCATCTTAGAGCTTTGCTCCTAACCATCATGGTATAATTTTGCCTTTCTGAGTGTCAGTTTTTAGTACTTGAAGATTGGGTAGCACTTCCAGCTGTCTTCCTTCTCATGGATTTGTAGGGGAAATGAGATATATTAAGAATGGAATCAGAGAACAGGAATATACCCAGAGAGATCTTCAAGCTGAACAGTTTTCATATTACTGATTCCTGACGGCTGCTCTGATATTGAATGGCTGCCCCTAGATCAGGATTGTTTTCAGCTGGCTCCATCCTCCTGGGCAAACAGTCTAAACCTTTCTTCATAGCATATAGCCCTTTGTGATTTTTGAAGTCCCCCCAGAAGATCTTCCCTTCTGGATGAAACAACACTATTTTCTTCAACTGTTCACGATACATATGGTTTTCAGAATCTTTAACATATAGTATATTATTCTCTTCTAGCTGAAATCTGTTGTGTCATTTTTCATTAACCCACCAATATTTATTGAGTACCTACTATCTTCCAGGTACTGTGTTAGGTTTCCCTTAACATATTGTTTCCCAACCTGAATACAGTTGTCTCGATCTGTTCCTTATTTTTCCCTGATTATATATTGTCTGTAGCTAGTTTGTAGACTCTTTGAGGACAGGGGCTCTTTTTTAAATATATGACTATATATCCCTTCTGGGTGAGGCAGCAAGCCCAATAAACAGCATTCAGTAAACGCTTATTGATGGATTCTGACCAGACTTTACTCTTTCTGGTAATGTGATTTTAGGCCAGACCTATTCATTTACCCATTATTTATTGCCCTAAATCTTCCATGTTAGGGTTTTTAAACTCATTTTTAAAATTTCTTCAATGGAGATAGCAATGAACCATTTGCTAACTTGGTACATAGGTGATTATAATGCAAGAGCATGATTAAGTATCTCCCAGCCTTTTTTTTCTAGAATGAATTATTTTTTTTCTTTATGAGGCTGAGTGCTTGTGGTCATGCCATATCCTTTGTTTTTCAATTTTTGGAAGGACCTTTGAGGAGGAGGAGGGAATAAGCTCCATGTTTTTTTAACTTTGTTTTGTCTTGTGTCTTTGATGTCAGGTGGGCTCCTTTAAGCCAGGAGGCAGAGTGATCCTGGCCACAGAGAATGATTACTGTAAGCTCTGTGATGCCTCCTTTAGTTCTCCGGCTGTGGCTCAGGCACACTATCAAGGGAAGAATCATGCCAAGAGGCTGCGGCTGGCGGAAGCTCAGAGTAACTCATTCTCGTAGGTATTGCCATTTTCTCTGAGGCCAAAGTGTTATGTGAGACTCTCTTTAAAGAAAAAAAGTTGAAAGGGATTCTTGTTTAGAAATCTCACTCTTTTTAAATTTCTCTTCTCCAGGGATTCCTCAGAGGTGGGCCACCGGCGGGCCCGGAAAGAAGGGAATGAATTTAAGATGATGCCTACTAGGAGAAATATGTATACAGTACAGAATAATTCAGGTATCCTGTGTGTTTCCATATACCTTCTGCAAATAGTCTCCTTTAATTTATTTCCTTTAGTGGTAATAGATAGCCCTGAGAATTTGGGGTTAGTCATTGTTATGTTGAATTGGTCTAGTGGCTATTCAGTCAGGCTGGTGTTTATTTCAGGTCTTATTTATTTACTTCCTATTTAGTATATTATTTATTTTAGTTTTAAATCATAGTCTATGTTTTAGTGTCTTTTATTATATTCCCTTTATGTTTCTTTAGGTATTTTCCAGCTGAGAAATATAAAATGCATGATAAAAATGGGCTACTTGGTTTAAAGTTGCACCATGTTTAGTTCCAATTTTGGGGGAAAATAAAAAAGACTATAGCAGTGGTTTTTAAACCAGGGTAGTGAATCATAATTACCTGGGGAGTTTTTATAAAATGCCTGAACCATGACTTAAAGGATTTTCAATCAGTAAATTTGAAGTGGGACCCAGACATACGTGTGTTTTGAAAAATGCTTCCTTGGTGATTTTATATACATATCAATTCACAACCATGCATTTATAGGAACGTTTTCTGCATATTCAGATTGTTTTCAGTAGGGAGAGTAAGACTGAGTAGTCCCTCATCCTCCCCTTTACCTTAGCCTGTGATACGTACACACGCCAGCAAAGATCATTTATGTGAACAGGAAAATAAACAAAAGAAAAAACTAATTGAAAAGCAAGAGAGGCTTATTGAAAAAGGGATGTATAGAAAGCACAATGCAATATGATTAATAAGTCTAAACATATATTAGTAATTATAATAAATGTAAATTTATTAAAGTCCCAGTTAAAAGACAGAGATTATCAGATTGGATAAAAGAAATCCAGCTGAAATGAAGGAAGCTGGGATAGCTGTATTAATATGAGATTAAATAAATTTTAGGGTAAAGGTAATATAGACTATGTTCTCTAACCAGAGTATAATTAAGTGATATGTCAGTAACAAAAATATAAAATCATTCCTGAGACTTGGCAGAGTTTAAAAAGATAAACAAATAAACAAAAGTATATTAATAAAAGCAAACAAAATTTCCATTTGTTTGGGAATTTTAAAACACTTCAGAATAACTCATGGTTCAAAGAAGAAATTATACTGGAAATTAAAAATTCTTAGAACCAAACAGTAATGAAAATATATCAAAATTTGTGGGATGCAGTGAAAGCATCCTACAAACACTTTTTGAGAAAAGTGTTAAATATTTATTATTATAGTAGAAAAGAAAAGCAGAAAATTAACAAACTAATTGCTCAGTTTAGGAAGTTAGTAATGTAAAAAGAAGAAAATAAAATTATCAGTAATGTCACTAACATTTTTGTGGCTGTTATTCCAATCTCTTTATATGTATTACTTCTTTATAATAGAAATGGAGCTGGGCACAGAGGCCGACACCTGTAATCCCAGCACTTTGGGAGGCCGAGGTGGAGGGATCACTTGAGGCCAGGAATTCTAGACCAGCCTGGGCAACATTAGGGAGACCCTGTCTCTCGAAAAAAAAAAAAATTAGACAGGCATGGTGATGTGCCCCTGTATTCCCAGCTATCGGGAAGGCTAGGGCAGGAGGATTGCTTGAGCCCAGGAAATTGAGGCTGGAGTGAGCTATGATCATACCACTGCAATGCGGCCTTGGTGACATAGCAAGACCCTGTCTCTAAAAGAAAAAAATATATAGAAATGGAATCCTATTTTATGATATTCTTGGTTTACTTACTGGCATATTATAAAAGTTTTCTATGGCATTATATTTAGTGATTGCATAATTTTCCATTGCATATATTACCATAATTTTTCAAATCCTCTTTTTGGATCTCCCTTCCCCCTAAATTTTTGCTTGTATAAACACTGCTGAAATAAATGTCCTTGCTGGTAAATCTCTGTGTGCAAATTCTCAATGTTTTTTTAGGATAATTCTTAGAAGTAGAATTTTTGGAATAAAGGGTTCAGCATAATTATATGACTTTTGATGTAATGCTTGGAAATTAAAGTATTTTCAAAATTGTATTCACTTTCTTAGAGACATAGCCATTTGGAGTTTGTGTTTGGCTCTACAGCAGATTTTCTGACAATAGTTGGAGGAATCATTTTATCTTTTTAGATCAAACCTGTATAAAATTGTAGTTTAAAAAATCCATTACCTTCACATTCATTTAAAGCTTAGAATCTGTGAGTTTTGTAATTTGAACTTAGAATTACAAATTACAGTGATAATTATAATTTTACTTAGTGCGTATTTCGAATACATTTTATCTCTTGCTTTAGCAGGTCCTTACTTCAATCCCCGCTCTCGGCAGAGAATTCCACGTGATCTAGCCATGTGTGTTACTCCAAGTGGCCAGTTTTACTGCTCAATGTGTAATGTTGGGGCTGGTGAAGAGATGGAATTCCGACAGCATTTAGAGAGCAAGCAACATAAAAGCAAGGTGTCTGAACAGCGGTACAGGAATGAGATGGAGAATCTGGGATATGTATAGTGATCGTCATATTCCGATAGAGCAGCTTGTCCTGCCTGTTGTTTGCCTTCTGTCAACTCGCCTTGCTTTGTGGTCCTTTTGATATGAGTACATTCCTCTGCTTAATGTTAATACATGTAACCTGCACTGGTACCATGAGATGTCAAAACTGGGGGCGGGGGATGGAGAACAAGCTTCTTAGGTCATAATGCTTTTTCAGGTCAATTGTGTTGAGCTACTTATAGTGTGACCTACGTACCCCATCAGAAATAACTTTTTATTTTGCCCAAGTTCTGGTTGACTAGTAGCCTGATCCCTTAGAAATATGACTATTTAAAAATTTCATCTTTTTCAATTTTAATTTCATGTGCTATTAAATAAATAATTGTATTGAGTTCTTCGGATCACGGTAAACGTAGGTGAGCAGAGATTTCAGTTTCCCTAGGCTTCATTGGAACCACCACCTCAATACATTGTTTGTAGGACACACTATTGTAAACTGTGTTAGGGTCTTTCTCAGGACATTTTTTCCTGTATCATGTCCCCCCATCATTGAAATGTAGGTTTTCTTGAATTCAGACACTTCCAATATGCTTATGTACTTCCAAACAGCTAAACTTCAGTTCCAGTTGTGGATTTCACACATTTAATTGCCACCACCTTCCGTCGTCTTTTTGTTTTTTTCCTAGTTGAATCAGCTTGTCTAACAAGCTCATTTTCATGTCCCAGCTGTGCTGTGGGTTTTCCAAGCCTCACATTTGAATATTTGGTGAATTTAAGGTGGATATTATTTTTTAAAAAATATGGTTTTTAGCTGACATTAGGAAACAAAAAGATGTGTGTGATTTTTCAATTTAGAGTTACTTCTTCAATGATCACACTTATATGATGGTCTCAACCATAAGTTAAGATTGCTTGATATTTTGTTTTAGCAGACTTTTTAGATAATCTGATTCACTTCACTTAAATTCTTCTCTGTTCTGCCAGTTTGTTGGCAGTCCTGAAAAATATCACTACCTGCTGTTTTATACATAGGAATTTTTAAAAAAGCAAATCAAGTATCAATATCATCATTTCCAGTAGATAAATGAACTATGGTTTTATTTTTTGTAATTTGGCTTTTTCAAAGTTACTAAAAATATATTATAGATTATTTTGTTATCTTATAATTACAACAGTATTATTTTTGGTTTTTTGCTTTTAAAATAGGCTATAGTGTATGTCTAGATTAACTAATGGAGTACTGTGTAAACTTTCATTAACTGAACTTTATGTATTTACAGTAGTTTACTTTACAATGGATAAGACTGGTGCTCATCCACACTTCTTTTGAAAGGCCACGTTCACCAGGAAGTTTATACTAAGCAGTATCTTTGCACTATGGTCAATTCACATATGATTGCTTATATTACTAATTAAAGGTAAAACTCCTATTTTTTCTTGAGATTTCTAAAGGCAAATACGTGGTGGCGGGGGGAGGCATATTATAATCATCATTCCTTTCCTGGAATACTTAAGAACAATTTTTTAAACAACATAGACCCATCTTTAAAAATTAGTTTTGTGATTAACCTCTTGTACAATATCAAGTTACTGTCTTCTGTTGAAGTGGTGGTTTTTTGAAAATTAGAATTATTTGGTAATTTTTTTCTTGCAGGAATAGAAGAATGAAATATTCTGTTGAGATTCTATCTAGGTCTATGACTCTTAGTATAATAACCTTTTTTGCAGTAATCTATAAAGTACAGTTGATTAGGGCAATTTAGGGCTTTTCTTATTGGCCAGTAGGTTACTCATTTTGCTGCTAAGTATAGATTTTTGGTCTATTTTAATATTATAGTGCTGGCCACTTGGTTCTATGATTACTTAAAAATCTCATTTTCTTTCTCTGTAGGTAGGTGTGTGTATACACCCCCCAACACACATATGATACCATAGAGAGGATTTCATTGGACCCTTATTGCAAATAACAGTAAAGATATGAATATTAATTTATATTTTGTAAAAGTGACAAAGGAAACTTTTAGTTTTCCTTTGGAAATAAAATTAAAAGAAAGGTTTCCCCCGCTCTCCCCATATCAGTTTCATTATATACATACAAAAAGCAGTGGACTTAAGGGCTTGATGTATGTCAGGCCTTGTGTATTCAGGTTTCCGGTGTCCCAGTGCCCTTAATAGATGTTATGAATGCATAAGCGCATTTTCTTTTAAAGAAAGAATTAGATTTATAGTGTTATTTCTTACTTGCTATATTTCTTTGCACTAAAAAATAACTATATGTTTGTTTTATATGACACTTTAGTACCATATTGCCTACAATAACTCAATTTGCTCCTTAATTTCCAAACTCCAGGAAGTTGATAAATCACTTCCATGATCATTTATAGAGGTTACATGCACGTCTGAAAAAAATCACAGATCTCTATGACAGTAGGTTGTATTTTACCTTACAGTTACCTTACAGTTCTCCTTTGTTCCATAGGTGAAACAAAGGATGACAGAGGTTGTCAGGCAGGAAATGTCTATATAAATACATCTCTGCATGGTACAGTTTCTCATGTTCGTGTATTCCATATAGGCAGTGTTTTTCCCTGTCTAAGCAGGCTATTGTTTCTTCTGAGTCAGTGATATGTGATCTCTGTTGGTTTTATTTTGTGAAGTCCAGTCCTGCTCTGTAACATGCTTTAGGATTTGCACCCTGTGATCCCCAGGAATCATGTTAGTGTCTTTGTATAAGCTGTATTCAAGGATGGACAGAGGCTTAAGCAACAGAAAACCTTTATTAAAAAAAAAATTAAATAGATTTCAGTAATCATCCATAAGAACTCATAGCATCAAAGTCTCTTTTCTCTGTGAATATTTTTGTGTAGATTGTCATTAAAAAAATCAATGGTAGAAAATAACAGAAACTCTTATTAGGTATTGAGGGGGCAAGAAGTTGTTATAAAAAGAACAACCCATGTTTCATTTAAAAGATTGGATTGCATATGCCTTCAAAGTGGTTTTTTAAAAAATGTTCAGTTACAAGAGTATGCCCTGTAATCCTCTGGACTGCATACTGAACAGAAGATACTTTGTTGGTCTTGGCTTTTTCTATCATGTCCTGCAACTTGTAAATATGTGCATGTTGTCTAACATGTTTGTCTGCTTGTCTCTTACTGCACTGAATTCTGCAAAGTGAGTAATTTTTTTTATACCATTCATTTTGAAAAAGTTCCTCCCCCAACTCTTTCTCACTGTTTCTCCTTTTAATTAGTTGACAAACTTAGAAAACCATTTAGGATTTTTGAAGCCCTGAGGTTGAAACAATAATCATGGCTATCCGAGATCATCCGTACACCCCTCTGACTAAAAGACTAACTAACGAGAAGCACGGGATCTTTCACCTTATTTTACAGAGCTGTTCTACAGAACTGTGTGCTTGCTTAGAGCTACCTATCTACAATTTGAACGAGGATAAAAGGAGAAATATATATGTATGTGTGTATATGTATACATCTGGTTAAATCTTCATCCGTAGATAGATTCTGGGGATTAGTGGTGGAATTTATGATTCCTTCAGTCCTGAGTTGGCTGAGACTGCAAACAATGACAGATCGAGGACTGTCCTGTGACCTGCGTAAACTGAATCTTGTTTGTGTCAGGGGAGACATGTAACCGTTCCATAGTATTCTCTGCAGAGAGGCCTAGGAATGGTGGTTTTGGAACCTAACCTATTTTGTTTCCTCAATGTCAGAACTTAGGCTGGAAGTACTCTAAAGCACTTGGTGAGGCATGTACCAAGGACAGTAGAACTGCTTTAGAAATATGTTGAGAAATGGTCTGTCAGGATAGGCAAAAGTTTAATGTAGGTTTTCGAACAGATATTTAAAAAAATTCTACCATATCAACTATTTTTTTCTTACCAGCCAAATGATTATTTAGGAGTTTCATACATAATAAAAAGTGTTTTTTTTTTTTTTTTTGTGGGGGGGAACCCCTGTCAATGTGAGCTATTCCTGTCAATCTAGCTGATTGGACAAATTGTTGTGTAAATAGTTTCTCATAAAACATTTCTACTGATAATTGTTTGACTTTTTCCTCCCGTTATGAATGGGAAGAACATTTGTAAACTCCCTTTCTGGGTAGCTACCAAAAAAAGTACTGGCTTATGGTCCCATGTGACCCTGTCTCCGTTAAGCCCAGAATATGAGTGCCTTTAGCAAGTGTTAGCATTTCACAAAGAGAAGAGATGATAGAATTATTGCCATTAATCACAGTTCATAAAACAGGAGCTTGGAATAACAAAGATCTGTGTGAATTCTGTTCTACATCTTTTTTGTCTTTCTTTCTTAATACAATCTCAATTTGATATCAAGTAAAACTGTTGTCATTATTGATCAAGAACCATACACCCTACAGATGAATCCAGTTGTCCCAGGCTAGCAGTCAGTCATAGATCATTTTTCACCGTGATCTGTGTTACATTTCTGCTTAGTGAATGGTAGTGTGTAGGTTGGGAGAGCTTGACAGTGATGTTTGGAAAAATTCTTTATTCCAGTAGTCTTTTTCAAACTTGTCTTTTCTGTAGAGGAAAGAATTATGTATTTTGCAAAGTGTATGAAGAGACTGGTACAATAATTACTAATTGTGTTAGTTCATGTCCACATTAAAAGAGGCATCTTCACAAATCAGGTTTGAGGCCTTTTAAAGCAAAATTTTCCCTAGTTCAATTAATTTAAAATTCTAAATTGCCTGAGTACTTAGAATCTTTGAAACACACTGCTAAATTAATTTTATTATAGAAATGTTAACATTTTCCTCAACATTTTTTAATGAAAAATTTTAGACATATATCAATGTTGAAAAAAGTTTACAATATACCTATTCCTTCCTGGATTCTACCATCATTTTACTGTGCTTATATCACCACGTATTTGTTCATCTCTCTGTCCCTTTAGACATCCCTCAGTCCATTGGGTTTTTAAAAATATATTTCAATGTAAATTTCAGACAGCACACTCCTCCTAAACACTTAGCATAGGTGTCATTAACTAGGGTTTAATATTTGTTTAAGAATCTTTTGGAAAGCAGTGTATAAAGTTGATAACCTGGCCAATGAACAAACTTGTTTTCCTCCTGTGGACTTCAGTCTTCCAGTTTCTGTTCTTGTCTGTGCTTAGAGTGAGGGAAAACAACTC